AGGGGAGTATTGTAGTGGATTCTCCCCTAAACGCTGTTTGTCGCTGAGTAGCCGACCCCACCAATTCCCAGTGTATGCCTCGTGGTCTAGGTCAACCAGCGCCGCCATACATCACGGAGCGGGGGTCAACTACTAAGCCACGCCTACCCCCGCTATTTAAGACCCGACCTCGTGGTGACCTGCCTCTTTCTACCTACACCAACCAGCCAGCAACACCTCCTCCTCCTCCGCCTGTCTGGCGGTCCTCGCTCCCGCCGGCGAGCATGGCGACCCACAAGCTGGTCCTCCTCTGAGCATCCTCACCAACCAGCTCTCTCTACATCACGCTTGTAATCATGCTGCCTTCCCAGCACCAAGCTGCATTGTACATCCAATACAACATGTATACATGAGAGCACATTGTGAGTTTCCTTTCTCCATCCCATCCTGAGTGTGAACCAAACATTCCATACCCCACAGTACCTAAACCTGCTCCAGTGTTGGTCAAGTCTGGTCTTGAAAAAGCTCACACTCGGTGCCGTCACAACACTTTCTGGCAGATTGTTCCAAGAGTTAACAACTCTCACTCCGAAAAAGTTTGCCCCACACAGTTTTCTGGACCTGTAGCTTCTTCAATCTTGAGCTGTGACTACTCGACTGAGTAGTGCCCCGATTGGAGTAACGTCACTAGTGGAGTACCCCAAGGCTGAGTACTTGGACCATTATTATTTATTATATATATAAAGGACATAGATATAGGCGTAGACAACAACATAAGTAAATTTGCTGATGACACTAAAATAGCGCGACCATAAATTTTTCAAATGGTCTGAAAAATGGCAGATGAATTTCAATGTGGACAAATGTAAAGTACTTAGTCTAAGAGATGTAAACAGAGAAACCAAATACTGTAACAGATGAACAACGATGTTATTGAGAAATCCGGCTGAGAAAGATTTAGGAGTAGTGTGTGGGGTTCAAGGATGTTTCGTTCACACTCAGGATGGGATGGAGAAAGGAAACTCACAATGTGCTCTCTATATACATGTTGTATTGGATGTACAATGCAGCTTGGTGCTGGGAAGGCAGCATGGTTACAAGCGTGATGTAGAGAGAGCTGGTTGGTGAGGATGCTCAGAGGAGGACCAGCTTGTGGGTCGCCATGCTCGCCGGCGGGAGCGAGGACCACCAGGCAGGCGGAGGAGGTGTTGCTGGCTGGTTGGTGTAGGTAGAAAAGAGAGAGATCACCACGAGGTCAGGTCTTAAATAGCTGGGGTAGGCGTGGCTTAGTAGTTGACCCCCGCTCCGTGATGTATGGCGGCACTGGTTGACCTAGACCACGAGGCATACACTGGGGAATTGGTGGGGTCGACTACTCAGCGACAAACAGCGTTTGTAGGGGAGAATTCCACTACAAGTGATAATTACAAATCTTAAACCAAGTAAACAATGAGTATTTGCTCGAAACAAGGCTAACAAAGTACTTGGGTTCATACAAAGGATTGTTAGTTACAAGACTAGCGAGGTCATCCTAAAACTATATCTTGCACTTGTGAGACCTCACTTGGATTACGCAGTTCAATTCTAGTCACCGTACTACAGAATGGATATAGAATCCCTTGAAATTATTCAGAGGAGAATGATAAGACTAATCCAGGAAATTAGGAACCTTGAATACAGAGACAGGTTAAAGCATCTTAATTAGCACTCCCTCAAGAGACGTAGTGAGGGGCGATATGATAGGGGCTTACAAATAGAAGTCAGGGCTAACCAAAGGTGACATTACAAAGGTACTCAAACTATCCATCCGGGAGAGAACTCGTAACAATGGTTTTAAATTAGAGAAATTTAGATTTAGGCGCAAATAGGTAAACACTGGCTTGGAAATAGAGTAGTGACTGAATGGAACAAGTTAACAAACATCATCATTAACTCGAATACACTGGATAGCTTCAACCATAGCTTGGATGGATATATGAGCGATAGGGGTTGGGTATAAATGGGACTGCCCAGTTGGGACAATAGGCCTGCTGCAGTTTCCTCCATTCTTATGTTTTTATGTAAAAGGTTGGTGTTCAGTATGACATTGCTTCTATGAATAAAACAAAGCCCACAAAGTGTGACATCGCTTTTAAAATAATAAAATGGAAGACTCAGTTAGTACTGTATGGCACCGTTTGTATAGTTACAAGGTTATAACAAAATAGGGAAGGATCATATACTGTAGTATGAAAATGTTTCAGTAAAATTTTAGTTTGTCATCTCTGTACTTATATAGTCAAACATAACCTTACCTAAGCTAACCTAACCTAGCCACGGAACCTAGGAACTATATCTAACTTAACCTAAATTCCTAAGATTCCTCAGATGACCGTAAATAAAATAATACCAAAGTTTTCCCTAAGTTTAAGATTTCCATTTTCTATAAAGATAAATTTTCTCTTTTCTTTTGTTTCATTTCTTTAAGTTTCGCTCACAGAAATCAATTTAGTCTGAACGATATACTGACTGTGACATCGGGGAATTTTCTGTGCTGGTGTCAAATAATTATCTATTATACAGTTACAAAACGTTTCAATATTAATTTAATAGGCGACATTAATCTGGAATACTGTAGTGAATTATTAGTCGTTTTGTTCATTTTGAAAATGTTCGTGTGAGCGTCTCTGTACATGTAAACATCTCGCGCGGGACGGACGCTTTGGCTAACTTCTTCATCTCCATTACTGTCCCTGAAATTTAAATTAATACTTGAATTATGTCCACGTACCAGGTAAGGTCACTAGAGGAGGCAGACCAGATAATTAGGGAGCACGAGAGAAAGACCAAGACCACATACGCCCTCCTCAGGTCGACCAAGAATTTTGGCTGTGTTGATGTTCCAGGTAAGACATATCCTTATTGTGTGGCCAAAGTCCTTCACTAACACACTACAGTCACCATTCATTGACCATGGACCTAACTTTGAAGTTTACATTAGTTCATGTGATGACATTTTTGTACTCATATTAAGATTTACACTTAAATAGGTTTGTAACAATGCATATAATGTTAATCTGACTTTAGAATATTGAAAAAACAACTTTGTATTTACCGAAAACTTGTCAGATTAAAACATAACCTTACTTGCTACCATAAGCTTCATTTATTTGATATAAAACGTTATTTAAACTTTGCCTGGTTTTAGTAGTAGACCACTGTGTTTAAGCCAGTGATCAGTGGTTTGATCCTGTTAAATGAGAGGGAGTTGTAAAAATTTTTTTACTTCTAACTATAACTACTGAATTTGCAATTGTCAGAATATAATAATACTCTAATTTTCAAATAATGTTGAGGAAGTTATGAAACATTGTTTGTGTTTTGTTCCATTTAGACAAAAAAAAGTAAGTTCTGTACTGTACATCATGTTTGAGGTTTTTTCTTACCAGGTTTAAATGCGTTTCTAATCATATTACGTGTATTAAGTTATTATGTTACTATAATATATATATATTTTTTAATTATTATGCTGTTGTTAGTGATAATGATCATTCTGTCTTTAAAAACAATTATATCTCAACTAAGTGCATAATCATTAAGGATTTTTTGTCAATATTCTGCAGTACTTTTTTAGCATATTGTTACTCAGATATATAACACAAATAAGAAACAGAAACACCTGTTGTGTTAAATGTGGAGACTAATGTTAAGCTGTTGAATAAAGATAACTTAAATCAACCAAACTTAACATATCAGTCATTGAATATACTTTTTAGTTGAGCTCGGGTAAGTCAGAGGGGTAAGGTTAGGGTGGTTTATTTTATCTTTTAGCCCTTATGCCCCGGACAGAGTAAGACCCATCAGACCCTCCCCCACACAGGTATATTTCATCAAAAAAATAAAATAAATAAACAAATACGGTCAAAACTGGTGTTTCAGGTGTAAAATTAGTGGTCACTCCAAGCATACTGTTGTGGCTGTCGTTCACTTGGTCCCCTACATCCACGACTACCATGACCTCACTGAGAGGCGGGGGGGGGGGAGGAGGGCAGCAGTGAGCGCGATTGTCTGTAGCACTGTCCTCACCCCTGGCCGCCTCAACTAACTCGACATCATCTGTGTCTGTTTCCTCCCCATCAGTCTTCATCACCCAATACTATATAAGTGCCACTCAAATCAGGCACATCTAGATGAATAGCACTACTGTTGAGGGTGTGGAGGGGCAAGGTGGGTTACGAGACGTCGAAGGATGTGGATCCATCATGATAGGTGGTGGGTAACTAGACTTAAGACAAAGATGACGTGCAAATTGAGTTGCAAAGTAAATAAATATCCCATACAAAGTATATCGTCCCGCCTTAACATTCAAAATGTTGCAAAAATTAAGAATGTTAAGGAACCGCACCCGGGGTCGCCTTAGTGAACGTAGAGGAACGTCATCCGGGCTTTAAGGGTTAAGAGATGAGGTAGCTATATCTAGCTTTTAAATGGCAGTACCTTGTTTGTAAAAATTTTTTATGATGTTGGAACAAAACGAGTGGCTCACAGTGACAGTTTTCAACCGTAATATAAAAGTCACACCAACTTTACCTGATCCTTTATAAGTAAGAGATAAAAATTAACTTTTTGTCTTTAATTAGACTTCACAAATAAATTAGTTAAGGTACAAAAGGAAAATTAATTATAACCTTTTTTGTACAGTACAATGCTGTATGCCAATTTGGGTAGAATTCAGTTAGTCTTCATGTAGTTATGGTTAATACTTTACCATTCTTGACACCTCAACTGTTTAAGAGACTGTTTATAGAAGAATTTGTATCATGAGAATAACCGAGATATGTCCCGAGAATTGCAATTTATGTATTTTGAATGAGAAATTACCAAGTTCACTTTTTTTAAAACAGGAAAAATGAACCACTCAAACCCAACCCACCTCACCTTAACTTACCCAATTTAAAATGTATCTTAAGATCATCAGGGTAATTTGGGACTTTACATTAAGTTTGGTTGACCTATGTTTTCTTCCATAAACAGTTTTTTGGTACAGTCTAATGGCTGCCAATGGTATACAGGCGGTGCGCTTCTATTAAAATTGTATCTCTTTAACACGTGTGCATTTTTAAGTTTGTATTACATATTTAGGTAAGAAAATTATGTAATATTTGTTAGCTTCCAGGAAATACTTGACTCCTCAGACAGGACCTTACTATATTAACATGGGTTAATTGGACAATTCCTTGGATAAATCCTTGGATAAACTGATCACCTTTTCTTGGTCTCTTTGCTGATGTTTATTATTATTATTATTACAGGGGTGTTATTATTGTATGATACTACTGTACGTATTATTGTTAATGGTATTTCTACAGTATTATGGCTCATATGGTAGAGAGGGGTATACTGTGCTTCGAGATTGTTTTTGGCAAACTTTATTAATTAAGGATAAGAGTTCCAGAATTACAGTCATATATAACAGAGTGTAAGATATTCCAGGTTTATTTAGAATTAAAATACTGTACTGTACTAATATGCAAATGTTGAAATTTATTGATTCATTCCAGTAACAGTTTAATTTTTTCAGCCTGTGCCAACGATGAAAATGAAGTCAGGTTTGAGACTGTTGGTGTTCCCTACTGTGGTGTGCCTTTTTTTGTGGCAGGACTCAAGATTCTTCAGTGTCAGTCTTATAGGGGACGGGGAGGAAGAAAAAAAAAGGAAATAAAAATTGAGGTTAGTACTGTAAATGAAATAATTGCTTCCATTATCAAAGATTTAGACTCCTTAGAAAAGGAAAGTTGGATGAAAGAAGAGATATTAAGTACACCCACTCCTTGTTTTACATGCATTTGATTTAAGCCTTTTTTGAGATAACACATTTGTTCAATTAATATCAGTTTCTAATTTACACGCAACTATTTTTGAAATAACACGGTTTAAATTTGCCGCGTATTACCTGGCAGTGGGGTCGCGTGTGATGGCTGGTGAAAAGCTTGTTAGTATTACTGTAAAGTCACTGTCATAGCAACAGCAACGATTTTAATATTATTTTATTATTCATAATTATTACAATAATGTAATAATAAAGATTATTACTACTAATGATGATAATGAAGTATACAGTACTGTACAACAACTGTGACGGCGTCCAGCTGTTTAGTGTTCACAGCAAGCTTTCCGTGTTCGTTTCAGCACTTCACTTGTTTGTGTGTTTGTCACGTGTCTTTTAGTGTTAAACACTGTTTTCCCCATCGAGCATGTCTGGAAAACGTCCATCTGGCTTCTCTGGTGAACCTAAAGCTAAAAAGGCACGAAAAACAATCGCAATGGACGTTAAGTTAGATGTGATCACTCGCCCATACCCTCGCCTCAGTAGCCTCCCTCCTCAACCCTCCCCTACCCCACCTTTGTCAAGCAGAAGTTGCCAGTCGTCAATGTAAGTGTTATTTCAGATATATTTACTTTTGTTTTTCTTTATTAACTGACCTTTTTCTTTATGAATGAGTAAGGTAAACGAATATTTATTGCGAGTTACCGTGTACGGTATATGATGGTTCCCCTAACCTGTACCATTTACATGTATTCTTATGGGGAAAATAGGTTTAATTTACATGTTTCTGAATTAAGCAGTGATTTTCAAGAACCTAACCCCCACATAAAACGAGAGGTGGGTGTACTGTACTTAAAGATTTCAAAAGTGTAGTGTAAACTTCAATAGTTTGACACTCAATAACCAGAACACCTTATGATAAGACATGAATGGACTATATGGGTGGGTGGTTCTTCTCAGTCACGAACATTATGCCGTTCATATACACAAAGTATTGACCAGATAATGTAAACATTGCTAATCAAGACTATACATGTTTCTTGGTTCCTGACACGGGAACTTTTCAGTTATCAGTCCAACAATCAGTTCTTGGTTGTAAAATTACCAGATGACTACAGGTAGTTTACTTGTTTGTGTAAATGCAGAACTAGCCTGTAGCCGGGTGGGTACAAGCTAACTCCAGCTGTCATCTTAGTGGAAAGGAGAACATAATGGAATGGGACTATAAAATGTTAGAAAGATCCTGTTGAGGCAGAAAAAAACAGTAGAGTATGTAAAAGAAATGAAAATGAAATAAAACTCCCAGTTTTTTAAATAAGTTGAGGCAGCTGTAAGCAAATAGAAAAATTATAAGGTTTGAAGACTCCATTAGTTTCCGACAGAATTTCCATAATAAATGGGATCAAATGTTTGACTTTCACAGGTAAATACTGTACTGCTAATTTTAAATATTAAATATGCATATGATACTTCTCTCATTGCAGAAGTGAAGAGACATTACAAAAATTTACCTTCAGATTAGTGGAAAATTGGAAAGAATATTGGCTTAAGAGTTAATGCTGTAAAGTTGAAAATAATGGCCGTCTCCAAATTAAAGGTAAATTTAAATAATAGGGGTTTAACTACTCTAATAGTGTACATCCAAAGTAACACAGAAAAACCTAAAATTGCTATTGAAAAATCACAGGTGTCAAGTAATTAACATAGCAAAACTAATAAACTTTTACTAAGTCAATAGGACAAGTAATAGTGAAAATTTCACTTTTGACCACAGATCTTTAAACTAGGAAAATTTTCATGCATTTGGGAAGAAACAAATTGTGATGGTAGATGTGAAATAGAATAGTGTACCAGTACAGTGTACAATATATGTGCTTTACATGGTTTGTCTGGTACAGTACCACCTTTTAATTGTTTCTCATGTTCACTCAGCTGACTGGTTCAGGAGCTGGTGTGATTGGAGAGGCAGGTGTGGGAGATACAGGAGGTGATGAAGATGACCCCTTACAAACAAAACCAATGGTCAAAAAGAAAAAGAAAGCTGGTCGAGCCCATAAAGTTGGCTGTACAGCCACCATTATCATGAAGGAAGTTATATATTATCCTGAATTTCAGGTGAGTTAGTAAGCAATAACTGTGTGTGTCCTCTTCTCTATAGAAACTTGTCACTACCCAGACTGTTTTAATTTCTCAAGGAGCACAGTAAACCCTCACTAATTTAGACCCTCTTTTTTTTTATTTGCTGTTTTTAATAAATTGTTACCTGTATTTATCTGACCACTTGTTGAATAAGCAAACTTATCAGAAATTTTTGTGTTGGATGCTGCATGTTTGGAGTTCTGACAGTGTGGACATGCATAACACCTTCCAACAAGCCTTTGTAATTTTAGTACAATATCGGATATTTTATCTTCTGGAAATACAAGTGATTGTGCAAATGCTGCATCGTAAAAACACGAAAGATAAGTTGAACTTGTCATAAAATAAAACATACATGAACAGTGGAGATACAAGGGTAGAATTAAAACAATTATAATGGTAAATACTGTACAGGGTAATGCAAAATATACAGTATTGCCAATTTGTTCACCATAGAACAAATTTGCAATACATAGCATGATGAACAGCATTACATAGCTGGGAGGCCAGTGTGAAAGTGTAGGAAGCTTTGGCAGCCAACTACTACAACTAACTTCTCCAAAGTACAGTACTAATGAGCTGAAATTACTTGTTTGTAGTGTAAATTGTGTTGTTTATGGCAGTATAATATAATCCTCAGGGTTACAAGGTGATAATGCTGCTCTAATTAGATGTTAAATGTCTCAATCCAGATTTATGAATGTATTCCAATGAATATATCATGTCATGTTAGTGTGATTACTCTCAACTTACATACAATCTAGCTGTACTGTATTTAACAAATGCTATACTGTACAGTACTGGTTACTTTAATTATGTGCAGATTAATTTTTATTTTACTTCTTTACAGGAAGTGTTGAATCCTTATTTTTTTATATAATACAGTACAGTATATTGCTAAATTTTTATCACTACAAATGGTATGAGTTGGCATAATGGATGAAAGGCTGGAAAGGGAAAAGTCATTAAAAATGAGTATATTTCAGAGGTAGATTTTGTTTATTTTTTTTATTTACTGCTTTGAAGGGGATAGGGAGCTGGTAGCTTATTTTATCACCCAATGCTCGCAATGAGTTTGCGCTAGTACAGAAGGTCACTGAAGTACCTGGAAAAACCCTGTGATGTTTGGTAGGGTCACACTGGATAACACCCTTCTCATATCTGTCCTGATCTGGGAATTGAACCCAGGACACAGTAGTGAGAGATATATGCATTTCTGCTGTACCAGCAAGATGGAGATGAAAGGATTCATTAAAAGAGAGGGTGATGGACATCCAGGAAGCAGAAATATGAATGAATGATTGAAGGACATGATGTTGAGAGATTATTGGGGATAGCTGATGCCAGGTTGTGTAAAACAAGAGACAAAGCAGTCATATATTGGGCCGCATTAATAAGAATGAATGAATTACAGTGAATGAAGAAAGAGCATGGTTGCTCTTGATGTGGCCCACCCTGCATTACAACAGAAAAGTCTTCAAAGAGTGGAATTTTTTTTTGCAAATTGCCGATTAGAATTATGCAACGATAATAATAATATATTAATCTTATCCAAGAAACCAAGACAAAATTTGGCAACTTAATTTACATGAAATAAATAGATTTAGTACTGGAAAGTACTTGAAAGCCTTTCATCTTTTGATAATTCAAGATACTGTACAGTGAAATGCATCTTATTAGAATATATTTATAACAAATTATTCTGCCTGTAACTGCTTCATTAATTTTGTCTTTATTTGGCAGTTATTTGAACACTCTAAAAACAATCGCATAGCTGTGGCACGTCAACTTAAAGATGCACTGAAGACCAAGGCTCCGGTGCAGAAGGATCGTATCATTTATGTGACAGTGCCAGCAATGTCTGACCATTTTGGTCACTCAGTTGGACTGGTAAGCTAGTCACATTTGCTTTTATGCTATAAAATGTCTCATCATGAATATACTGTAACTGATTACTGTGCAGTTTATTAATTGGGAAATAGAATTATGGTACAGGTATTTTCATTTTGATAACTGCTATAGTAGTTTAAAAGACAGTAATTTGTACTAGATTTTGCTCTTCTTACATATTTCAGATTGTGATGAAATACAATATACTGTATTACATTTTGAATTTTTGAAGCTAACCTCTTTTTATTTCTTTGTGTGGAATTTGGGCATCAGGGCACTACAAAGGTTAGTATCTCATGGTTATTTACTTTTTAATTTATATGGTTTTCGATCCCATTCACACAATTCAGGGCCATAGGGTTAAGGTTTTTGATTAGACATGCTGGTTATACAAGACTGATTGTTTGATTTGTTTTATAAAATGTTTGAAGAGCAGTGCTTTAAACCTATCAGAGAAAAAAATTGTCAACACACAGAGAGGTGCAAAGCCATCAGCCAGTTTCACCAGCCAGCTGGTATCTCAGCTCAGTCAGCTGTCACTTCACTCACCCTCCCTCTTGTGTTGGCAACAATGTTATTGTCTACACAATACACATCCAAACATTTCTTCATTTCAAATTTCCACATTTTTTCTTACAGCTCTGCACCTTATTATACATTATTAGCTTATGAAATTTAAGGATATCTAGTAATATCATTTATTTAGTTTTCCATATAATATCAAAAAATTAAATGAGGAGAAATTGGGAAATAAGGCAACTGGCTCGGTGGCTGTGTTGTGGTGTGAGTGCCGAGTCACTTGTCTTCATACGAGCAAGGAGTAAATTATATGGCGATTGTAGGAGAATGAAGACACATTGCAAGCTTATCTGTAGACTTAATAACATTGTAAGCGTTAGGAATAATGAAATAAGTAACCATACTGGTAGCAAAAAAAAAATAATGTTTTAGCCTATCATTTTTACAAATTTGTATTTTTTGTAAATTCTAAGGTTTTGCTCGTAAATCAAGTTGTTTTGTAGCTGTGAATTTTCGGAAACCAAATCATCATGAATTGGGGTTTCCCTGTAGCTTTACTGAACATACACTTGAAGGTCTCCTCTATTTGATATTACAGTATTTGGATTGATGTACCAGCTCCGTTTCTGTCTTTGGTGTAGTTTCTGGTGTAATACAGGTCATCCACCCATTTTCCGGCACCCTTGGTTCCAAAGCCTTGCCGGATTATCCGTTTTGCCGGACCAACCGAGGTCAGGTAATAATAAATCAACAATACACCTCTGACCCACTAATTATACACCTCCCGTTTCTTAGCACCATTACTGTACACACTTGGAACTCAAATGTACTACACTAGACTAAAATTTTTTATCTTGTGCAAACTATGTGATGCTTATGCTCAAATTAATCACTATCTTACAAGGATTCCAATAATGCAATTTATATTCTGCTAAGTCTAGTCAGCTATATTTTATAAGATAAAAACTTTAAACATAAAACTAGCTTCACCCAGGCTGGGAGGGAGGGAGGGAGGGAGGGAAGTCAAGTGCCCTCTCATAATTTTGTCTGTACTAAAGGAGGTACCGGACCATCAGTTCCTGGATAATCGGTGGTGTACCTGTATTAGAAATATTTGTGGAGATGTGTAATGGCTGACTTGTCTGGATGAGGTTTTGCTAATCTCCCCTTCCAGGACCATGAGTTTTGGTGGTCGATTTTTATTTTTAGTTATTTTGAGTAGATATTCAAATGGAATTTCTAGATCTAGGTTCTTTAATTGTAAGGAATTAGGTATAGAGTCAGGTACAGTAGTTAATATTATGAAGCTGAATTGTTGAAAGTTATATTATATGATTAGAAACATTTATATAGTGAATTTGATGTACAATTAAAAATATGCATAATATAATACAGTATATTGATATTCTTAATAGAGTGGTTTTTACTTTATATCATTCAGCAGGGAGCAAAGCGTCTTTTTGTAAAGAATGACTTTTATGGCCATAATGAACCAGGCTCCAGCAAGAGAGTTTACTACCCTGTCAAGCAAGAGAAGTTAAATGTAGCACAGTTAACCAAGCGCATGAAAGTGGATGAAGATGACACAGAAGCCAGAGCCAAGGAAGTGCGTGAGATTTTGCAAAGCATCATGGGACTTACATATAAGGTCAGCTTTGTAAAATGGATGAGTACTAGGGAGAAAGACCAACTAGTTTATTCCACTATATCGGAATAAAAACTTTAGAAAATATCAGTTTTATTTTGGGAATAGCCTGTCTTTTCAATATTTTATGTTTTCTGAAGCTAGTCATATTTTTTTTCCCCAAAACTTTACTTTTCTGCTAATTTCAACCTTTTACTCCAACCAGTTTTGTATTCATTGTAACTTATCAATTTTTTTTTATGGTGTTAATATGCCCAAAATGTTTTTAAATTCATGGGACCAGATCTTCCTTTGAGTCAAGAAATGACACAATAGAATTAGATTTAATTTTTTTGTTACCTACAATAGTCATAAATGATATCAAATAATGACATCTTACATAATACAGTGCAGGTTGTGTCAGAAGCCTGTATCCATAGATAATTGTTATTATTATTTTTTTTTAATTTAGAAAAAATATCAACATGTCACATTTCACAAATGTTAGAAAACCCTACCAAGGGTAATATCCATACAAGAGGGAGCTTTGACAAATGGCTCCCGCAAGTGAGGTTGTAGCAGTCAGAGCAGTGGGTTATACGAGTACATGGAAGTCTTGGTTTTACTAAAATCTGTGTCTCCTTGGTAAGGGCTCTTCTGGTACAAACACCTCCAAGGTTTTGTTCTTAGGAAGGCATCTCAGAAAATTACCAAGGTTTTTCCTTTTATTTACTCACATTGTTACATAATAATTGCTCAACTCAACTTGTTACACTTGCAGTTCAGTGGTGCATAGTTCTGTTTAAGTCTGTTAATTCCTGTACTTTGCATAATCAGCCCTTCATTTTTTACATGTAAATGATTATAAAATGTGACTAGCATATTAACATTGTTAATTTCAAAAGGTATTGAAACTAAAACATTCAATGACTTGCAACATACAGTACTCAGAACTGATATTCAATGTCACATACAGTATGTACTGTACTAGAAAGATGTTTGCAAATTTTTGGTTTACTTATTTAGATATGAAGATCATTTTTTCTATTTTGTATTACTGTACTAATAACATTGCAACACCATGCATTTTAAGGAAGGAGTTGATTTGTAATAAATGTAAAATAGATAATCTATATAGAGAGTTGATATCTTTAGAACATAATTTAATAGGTTTCATGGTAGCACTAATTTGGGTTGTTTTCTGCAGCAACCTGGAACAACCGAGGCATATCGTGAACTATATAAAGATTTGATGCAAGCCAAACTTAAATACCAGCAGACAATGGACTCCCTGCTTGGAGGAGCCCATGTCTCACAAATCCATGTAGTAGATGGATTAGTAGGACAAAATGGAGACAACCAAGGTAAGACAATTTTTGCCAGACATTTGTATCTACAATAAACATCCTAAATACTGGACACCTGAGTAATAACACAAATCTTTGATATATTTTTTTTTTAATTGAAAAAATATCTTGGTATCTTGTGGGTCATTGTTATAGTTGTGGCGCGATGTGGTTTGGGCCACGTGGTCTCGTTATCGCAGCTACAGAATGACTAAGATTTGGAGCCTATACCCTTTTACTCATTGTTAAATTCAACATATAATTTAACTCTAACTTTTGAGAAATACTCGGTATAATCCTAGATAATTTGTAGCAAGACAACATCAGTGCGTCTTGGCCGTGACCACTATGAAGAATTCTAGAATGTTTAGCTTGTTTTTTCACGCTGTGGTTTGGAAGTACTGTACAGGTACAGGTGTGGGGCGAGTGTCTCTCGTGCGTGCTTCGTGTGAATGGTCCCATTGAACTTCATTAATTTCTTAACCTGTACGAGTCCTCACGTGTGGGGGAAAAACACGCTCGTGTGAAGCGGACCTTACAGTCGAATACGAGAGCTGCAGCTAGCCCTCGCAATTTGAAATATTACTGTAGGGTATTGTAATTTTTCTTTACGAATAGTAGGGTATGCTTTGTGAATATCGAATAGGGATGTCAAAATAGCAAGTGTGGAAAAAGAAGTTGTGAATATTGAGGTACCTGAACTGTATTCCCATTTGGCTGCTGGACAGCGAGATTTGCCAGTCGTTTCACAACACACGGGAGCAGCTCAGAGTAGTGGAGATCCCTCCTCTCCCTTGCTTAGTGTGAACTCTTAACACACTTAGAAAGTTTATTCCTTCTTATGTTTTTTACTTTATGATAATTAATATTTTTATTTTTTTATTTATTATTTTTTTTTTTGCATAATCCGTATCAAGAAAATTACGTATATATACCTAAAATTACGAGTTTAAAAATAACCATAATATATCTGACAACTTGGCCTGGAGTGGTATGAAGGGGGCTAATATATAATACTGACAAACAAGCAAAAATTAAAAAAATGTAAGGAATATCATCCCAAAGGTAAAGTAATGGCTTACGCGGGAAGTCAAATTAAGGCTGAAGCAAACAGCAAACTCACATATCCCTGTACCTCTTTTCCCAGCATTCATAAACCATACCCTTTAACTTTCTTATGGTATTATCAATTGTGCTATTTCAAACAACATTTGTATACAATCTAGATGAAAGAATGCAGCTAAAACCATAAAGAGAAACTAACTAAAAGTTCAACATAACTGCCATTTGCATAGACACTGGCTGCTTGGCCGTCTCAACACTAAACCGTCGTCATAGCAACGTAGTATACCTGGGACTGTTGCCTCTGTGGACTCGGCTCCCTCACCCTTCCCCAGCTCCGCCTCCTAACTTGGGCACAAAGTAATGTTTATTCCTTTTATATATTTGCCCTTATGATAATGTATGTAGGATTGTGTGTGCATGTAACGGACTAAAAACGATGAAGAAAGTTACGTATGTGTACCAAAAATTACGAGTTGAAAAATAACCATAACACCTCATAGCTCCGCCTGGTAGGGAGATGTGGCTACATGACGAGTTGGCAAAATACTGCAAATGAAAAATATTAAATCTTCATTTGTATCAGGTATTTGTAGATTTAAGTGGCATATATAATGAACTAGGTTCTGATCTTCATGCAGCAACATAAAGAAAGAACCTAGGGGTAAGGTAAACAAACCCAGGATGAACGAGCTTACTGGTAAGGTTAGCTTACCACGAACATGTACTGTACAGCTATCATTTACCATGAATGACCCACGGAAACTAATTAATTTTATCCCCTCAAAAATATGGATGCACATATTGTTTGACCCCTTACTTTTTGCATAATTTTTTTCTCATAAAATTCATTGTACTTGAGTATAATATACTATTTGAATGATGTGGATATTATACCACCCACAACATCCTATTTATCTAGTCTATTAACACTAAATAAAAAAAAAACGAATTTCTTGAAAGTACGGTATATAATAATTATGATTATTTCACTTGAATTAATTTATTACGAACTTAAATGAGCCAATCTATGTTAGTGTAATATGCTGGCTGTTATTTTGAACAGTTGTGCATTCCTGCTGATGTGGACATCCAAATTACAGATTCCGGCTGAGTAACAATATCTTCGTGGTTTAATTAGTCCGGTACTCAGGGTCTTTACTGTATTTATGTATTTCTCTCCCACTGCATTGAATTGGATCTGTCTTCTGTCTATTCATACCTCCCACTAAAGGTTTTAAGCTTAAACCAGAAAAAAAATATTAGTAAAGCTATTGGAGTGGAGTCTCACTAATGCAGCTCTGGATAGTATGTTTTTGTGAATGCGTTTCATAAATAACTTTTTTCTTTGTGTTTCATGTTGCAGAGCACATCTTTTATAACAAAATGAATGAATGAATTACAGTGCAAAGAATGAAAGGAAAATTTGTGTGTTCTATTTACTCCTGCTTCTACCAGGATTTCTTATCCAGTGTCATTTTTTTAACATAAGATGCGAGTCAAACTGAGGGCAATGAAGACTCTTGGCCTGTACCAAGAACAGCTGTCGTAACTACAACTGCAGAACCTACTGCTACTCTTCCACCAGTTTCTTCTGTTACCACAACTACAACAATTGCTGCTGCACCTCAGGTTCAGCAAAACCCAACTGTGGCCACAACAGCCACCACAACTGCCGATGGCAATAACCAGGAAACCAGTATCTTTATTGAAGCTATGGAAGCTATTCTTAACTCACAGATGTAAGGTCTATATGTTGGGAAGTTGTTTCATAACCACGATTGCATATTCATCAGCTTTGAACAAAACCACTATAGGCTTTTGTTGTTTGTCATGTATTTGGTAAAAATGTGGGATCATAGATTGTGAAATCAGTATTTTTTATTCAAAATAGTTAAGTTTATTTAAATAGTTTTAAGAAGTGGTAACCCTTTCAATACAATAATTAAGTGGTTCAATTATTATGTGGGAAACATTGCGACTCGTGTTTTTTCGTATCCATTCATGTCATTCTCTGCTTTTCATTTAATCATAAATCTTCCTTTTACAATTGCAATTATCACTTTACTCAGATTTACTAATTCTTTTTATTTGTTCTTTTATTATTATTATTTTACAATTTAATGGACTTTGAGAATTTCACACATCAATATGACGTTTATTCAAGTTCAGCCTTTATTGTACACCATGAAACATTAATGAGTTAATGCAGGTCAGTATTTCATTTCTGACATACAGTAATACCCCGATTTACGCGGTCAATTGAACCCGCGGAGTAGCACGTAAAACGAGAAACGCGTAAATGGAATAACAGAACATACGAGATTAATTGAAATAGAGACTGGGCCGACCCCCAAACTCCACTTTTTCAGACACAATACCTACGTTGTAGTAAAAATAGTATCTTAACTTTAAGATGGTATGCACACACACATAATATAGAAGAGAAATATTATTAGAGAATAATATACTGTACCAGGTAAAAGAAAAATCAAGGTTTAACACTTACGTAAGGTTAGGTTCGGATAGAAAAAATCAAGGTTTGAATCCAAAAATGGCGGCTCGGCAGGACCGCCTGCCGCTCTCCGCATATATGAGTAGATGCACCGCGTAAATTGGGCATTCTGGTTCTGGCAGGGTACCGCGTAAATGAAACCCGCGTAAACAAAGGTATTACTGTACTTTTGATTTTGATGAAATCTGTTTGACAGCTCATCTCTTATATTTTATTAATTATCTCAGTTTTGGGGTTTATTTACTTATTAAAATTATAACTCCCAAAATGCATGTGTTAAAGATTGTTTATAAAATTATTTAAATGTTTTCAGCTTATAGTAAATGTTTTTAATAAAAAAAAAAATAAACAAAACTTTTTTCTCTTGAGAACTTGGCCATCATTTGGGTCATGTTTTTCTGGTTGTACTGGAATGGAAGCTCCCATTCAAAATTTTTTTTGTGTTTACTGCCTATGTTTAAACTAAGTACCTCCCTTGAATTTACACTCCATAGCAAAGTTAATACAGTATATCATAAGATTTTTCTATCTCTGCAATTTCGGATTAATTGACAGAGGAAAATTAAATGTTAACCCTTTCGCCGGCTGTTGACACTATTTGAGTCACAACAAAGGGCCGTGTGGAGTGAGATGTTTGCCTTGACCCTGAATGCTTACACTGGCCAGATCACACTCACGCAGGGTTCCGGTGTACGAGATATTATCTTTACACTCATTTTCAGTCATCACACATCATTTATACAACTATTTTGTCATTTTATCAAGAAGGAAAATGCATAATTTACCCGTAAATGGAAAATTAAAAATAAATAATACAGGTACAGTATATGCATTATCAGCTGGTTTACGGGTAAGATTGGTGATGACACAGATTGCTGGCGAGACTTGGGCCACAAGTAACCAGCGAAAGGGTTAATGTTTAGTAATATAACAGCAAAGTCCTCCACCAGTGTAAATTTCAGTTTGCTAAAGAAGGCAGAAATGGGGAACCACACTTGAGTATAGTACTGCAATCATACTGTCACCTCAAGTGACATGATTTCCCAATTGTGATCATGAGGAGTTCATGGGTGTTAGTGGCGATTATTTGCATTTATTTTTTGTCAAGTTATTTCTGTGCAAATTTTATACTGTAATTATCTTATTTTTTATGAAAAATGGAAAGATTATTGTATTTACTTTTGTTAAAAGGATTTACTTAAATCATGTCTGATTATAGGTTGAATATTTAAAAAAAAACTATCATCAGGGGTATCTACTGTATTATACAGTACAGGTATATTGTAAATTTTTATTAACAAAAGCTATAGATGATATAATTAGGTATCACAGGATGTAATAATTTAGGATTTAATTACAACTGAAAGAACCATTTTTTCAGTAGAGAAATGCCCTTTCAGTTAATAACAGGGATGCCTATAGTGATAATGATCAAACAGTAATGTATATTGTATATATGATTGTAGTAGTTTTATTATTTGACATTTTATAACCGTGTGTCAGGATTGAGGAATTCTGAGGAGCCAGTAAGAAAAGGGGGTCAAATCTCAAGGCCTCAGACTTATGCAAATGGGATTTAAAAACCAAGTAAATTTATTGGAAGTTATGGAACCCAGCTCTAAGGACTCTGTTCTTTAGCAAGGATCTAAATATTGGCTACTTGAGTTGGCCGTTACTAAGTTGGCATTTCAGGAATGCATGGCCATGGGGAGCTTGGAGTTTGTTCCTTTGTCTTAATCATGAACCGACCTAAAATTTGTTTAGTAGGAGTGTTCCTATATGGATTGCAAATAAAACAGTACTGAAGGCCACTTGGTACCTTCTAGATTCCAACACAAGTTTATGAAAGGAGGATTGATCCTGAAATCCTGTTTTGTAACAAGAGTTTCACACACTTTGTAACGTCTCTACCTTTTCCTTTATGGTGGCGAGGTGAACTGGATCTGGAAGCTTGTTCCTGACATTCTGTCTTATTGCCAGTATCAGCAAATGAATAAATAGGAGCATCTTTGTTTATGCTCGGCATCAAAACTCTTATTCCATCTCCTTTTATTAGTTACTTTTATGACAAGGATTAACCTTTTGGAGTACTCTGTGAAGGTAAGGAAAAATCAAAATATTTAAGTTATACTGTATAATATTTTTATCTCAGTCAAAAATTTTGGGGCCCTGGAACCTGTGGTTTTAATTCTACACCTGTTGGCTATATAGTACTGAGTTTCTTGATCCAGGTTTAGTTACAAAATAGTGTTTCAGGATTAAATACCTAGATTTCCATTCATATAAATAAAACTAGTTGTGTGAACATTAATATTTGTGTGAGCTGTCTCTTACACTTTTGTGGGCTTATGTTGGTGACTGATAATATGAGGTAGGGGGCAATATATAAGCAAAAATGGTTATTAATTTTTCATGGATCCTATTTGCCATGCTGTTAAGACTAGTTTTAGAACCAGAGAAATTCACCAAATATGAGAAACTATTGTAGAATACTTTTTGAAACGATGTTATAATTAGATTTTTAATTGTGGTTTGTAAGCAACACAATTGGTATTCCATTTTAGAGTTTACCGAAGAAAATAATTTGTTTGGGGTGATGTATCTCGGGTCTATCCGACTTTGGAACACTCATCTTTACTCCATATTGTTGACCTCTGTGGGCCCAAGCTGAATGTAGTGTTGAGGCACTTTACTTCCATAGTTGGTGCAGAACATAGCCATCAAAACAATCACCAATAATGTCCTTAGCAGAATACATCCAGCATTGCACATTTGCAGGGATATCTCATCACTTTTAGTTCAAATCATCTTGGTTCAAATATCTTTCGTCTTTGGCAAGGGGACACCTCATTAAAACAGATATGACAGTGACACTTGTCTGATCTCCCCCTGCGCTTGGAAAAAAGTTAACGAGGACCAGGTATTTAATGCTTTGATAGGAGCTGATGAATTAATATATGCACAGAATGTGTTTAATAATATTAGTGAATGACCAAAACATACAAGTACATGAAATACACACCTCATCTTGAGAAAAACAACAACACATTATCAGTAATATTAAAGCAAAAGGGTGAATAATGAGGTTATTGGATGTTATGAGAATTTTCCCATGTAAAATGTAGGAAATGGCTAACAAGGTAGATTTTTTTTAGTATTCCTTTGTCATCATTCTATTAACTTTCTTAGCTGACTGAAGTTTCTGGTAATTTATCTTTTAAATTAAATGCATATTAGAATTTTTTTTATTGTAAATCATCCTCTCTCTACATCATCATATCTGAAGATTATCAGTGAGAGGTGCATTCATTATATGGTAGGATGGTTAGCCGATAGTTGGGATTCATTTTTATTTGGGGAACTTGTTGAGGAGGGATACTATATAGAGTATAGATATTCCCATCCCTCATTCTATGTTATTTTAACCCCTTCACCACGGGGACCCCGTTTTTAATATTTTATTTGGCCAGCGCCAAACAATTTTATTTAGCCCAGAGAGGGCTCCATACACAAAAAGTTAATATGTAGTAACTGGTGTGTAAATGGTTTTAAGGAATACCATTTGATTGAGATGTCAGGCAAGTCTAATAGTACAGGATATTGTATGAATAATTGGTGTGGGTACGGAGGATTTTACAGATATATGCAAATGATCAGGGTAATGTTGGTCTTGGTTGTCATGCAGACATTATATCATAAAGGATTACTCATTACTACTTTATCTTCACACATGACTGTACAGTACATGTTAGACACACTTCTCATTTTTTGTATCCATCTGTACAAGTATGTTTGATGTATATTACTCTTTCTTTTTCTCAACCACCCACCCACACATTTGTTTGAAAAACTACATCTTTTGCAATAATGTGAAAATTGATTCATCATTAATTATCTCATTGATATCTATTGCCCAAAATCACTGGTAAAGGCAATTTTATCTTCTGAACATCACCTTAACAGATGTTCTCCTTTTCCTTCTTTGGCCATGTAGGTGGGTCTGTCCCCATCAGCACCAATAGGACCCCCAGTAGAGGTAGAGGCCATTATCTTGACTCAACAGGTGGTAGCACCACCCAAAATAGCACACAGTAACAGCCCAGGCGGTCGCTAGGATGGAGCGGGCTACAACGCGATAGTTGCGTTCTTGTAAACATCTTTTACCTTCATCACCGGCAATTCGATCACCAGAACGCTTCTTGGAAATATTCTTCTTACCTTGTCTTTCCGTATTTATCGCTAACACTACAAAAGTGGAGAAAACAGCGAAAATCATGGAGTAATTGACAGAAACCGCGCGATTCAACTGATCAAGTGATGTAAACAGAGAGCGCTGGTGTAAACCGTTATTAGTCCTCACTGCGAAACATTCTTTTTACTTATTCTTTTCATACAGTATTTATGGCTAACAGCTAAATTTGCCCTCCAAAAAATGAAATTTACAGAGTACCTCTCAAAAAACACTTCACTAACAAAAGACAAGAATCAATTGAACATGTGATGTCGAACGTGAACTGTAAACATTCGTATGCAAAAGTTTGCGTTTTACAAACAGCGTTCTCCTATTAAATTGTGTTGCAACTAATTCGTGTTGACAAAACACGTGTAGTAGCAGGACTGACTGCAACTGGTATGAGGGCAGTGACGTCATTCAAGACGGTGGCCAGCATTCAGCTTGCTGGATCTCGCGAAATTCACGATATTTTACACCAAATATAAGACTTGGCTACATAAGGTAGTGCTTGCGAAATTCAAAAATGCGAAATGAAATAGCGCAAAATATGAGATCTTACTGTACTATAGTTGTGTATAGTACTATTTATTTTTATTTTTT